GGCAACCGGTTTTGACACCGTCATTGTTAATCCCAAGACAATGATTCTAGGCTGTCGCTCCTTGTAGGTCGTCAAACGTTAATATTACGTGTGAGTGTGAGTGAAAAACATTTTCATTTACACGTGTTAAAAACTCATCGTAATCGTTTTATTTTTTGTAAAAATCTCATTCCAGACTATGCACAATGTTGGTCTTGGTTTCTTACCTAGACCTAACGCGACTACAAGGTACTTAGATCATTTTTGTCAATACTTAAACTAACAATAATATCTAGTGATTAAGGTCATTCGGTGGTTGACCTTTTAACAAACCAGTATGACATCTAGAGGTCAAACACCTTAGTGTTTAGTTCCTTTTTGAGGTCTTGCTTTCCGGATTACTTAACAATTGTACTATTCTAGAGGTAATACCTCGTTGCCATTGTAATCCTGTGTCGTCTGAATGGCAACCGGTTTTGACACCGTCATTGTTAATCCCAAGACAATGATTCTAGGCTTTTGCTCCTAGGAGGTCGTCAATAAGTCTTAAAAACACATAAACGAGACAATAACCCAATAACAATAACTTTGAACATTTTAACGAAAAATTACTGAATTTTTTACTCATGCGATGCAACTAATAATCACGGCACGGCTGCCGTGTATGTCTAGATTGACCTTCCAGGGACTGACAAAGCAGCCTCATTCATAGAGAAATTATAAAAAATACAATGGAGCTGATAACAGCAATATGAAAAGTAGATGTGAAGGGGAAATCACAGTCACAGAATTTTGCAAAAATTAAAAAGAATATTATACAATAGGTTTTAGAAATGCCAAGTACCGCTAAATAATGTCTTTATCTGCATTGTACTTGTTATTTAGTTACCTGAAAGCAAATCAAATATGCTAAATAACACTAATAATAATATATTTACACGTATACTGTTTACTCACAAGACGGTAAATACATAAAAAAGATGGTAAGTGGTGATCGATTTCGATTGGACTGGAGTGAGCTGGGTCCAATCATTCGCCTATTGGGTCTGATGTTCATTGAAGTGTCCAATCGAAATCGATCACTACTTACCATCTTTTATATGTACCATCTTGTGAGTAAACAGTATAAGTGTAAATATATTATTAGACGTGTTATTTGACGCATTTGTTGTGCTTTCAAGTACAGTACCTCTAAAGCAGGGCATGCTTTTAACTGTTTACATAATATTTTATAAAAAAGCTAATTTATAAGTTAAACTTAAGGGGTATAATAACCATGCAATTAAATGTAGTTAGATCCTATTGTGTGTAAGAGATTTAGTTAAATAGGTCCACTACATTACGTCCTATGCAATATTAGTTTGATGAATGGGTTCATTCGGTAATTGAATGGGAATTACTGACCCACATTATTACTGTACAAACTTATTTATGTTTCTCAACGGTTTATTTAGCACAACGTAAAGTTTAAAAGATTTTCACAAAGGTTTGAAGGCAGCTCATTGTTATTAATTTCAATACCAAACCAAGCACCAAACATAAATACCGATATAAATTAATTTATACAGGGTTGATAAAAAGTCAAGACCCCCTCTATAGTTGTTTAAGTAAATATACAGATATATCCTTTTGGTGGTCGTGCAATCTTAGCAGGAAGTTTAATTTTATGATTTTGAAAATATTGATTGTCCCCCAAAATGGGGGGATTTTGGGGACAACTCAAAAATTTTAAACGTAGACCCCCATCAAGTGACACATCATTTTTAAGTGTTTATAAAAACTTAGAGAATGGTGAAAACCAGAGATCGCTATCTCTTCTCTATCCAAAATGGAAACCAATATTACCATTACATTGATTTTTACATTTCAGCCTTTTATTTTGGATAGAGTAGCTCTGGTTTTCATCACTCTTTAAGTTTTTGCAAACCCTTAAAAATGAGACGGCACTTGAAGGGGTTTGCATTTAAAACTTTTGAGTTGTCCCCAAAATCCCCCTTTGTGGGGTACACTCAAAAATGTCAAAATCATAAAATGAAACTTCCTGCTAGGATTGCTTGATATTTCTGTATATTAACTTAGAAAAATATTGGAGTGTCTTGACTTTTTACTCACCCTGTATACGATTATAAGGTTAAATATTCTTGAAGAGTAAATCTGCTCTTAAATAAGCTAAATCCTCCGACCTTGATAATATAATAAGATTGCAGCTCGGAAACAAGCAAACAAACTAGGTCGAATAATAAATCACTAAAAGACTATTCTTATTCGTTCTATAAATAAACTAGAGACTAGACTAAATAAAGAAGTTCGGTCAAATCCTCAGTGACGAATTGTTTTAAGATTTATCGTCGAGTTAATTCATTTCATTCGAAAACAAATTTCTCAAGGGGTTTATTCGAGTTTCTAGGTCGTCCTTGATTTTATACAACTCCAGTATTTTTAACGTTATTCAAATGTGAATATTTTGAGCAATAGCAATTGTGTGGAAGGCAACTAAACATTCTATTGGTCTATTTTATATCCGTGCTAAAGTCCTGATAAGTTGTTCATTTACTTACCAACAACTACATATTTTAAACTATGATTGCATATACATATTTTGAATTAATGCTCTTAGACATTATGCCTTTTAGGTTATAAGTTAATTTAACCTCATGCTTGTCCTTATTGGTTTAAAAATATGATAAGTTATTTTAAGGTGGCCTTATTTTAAGCAAATCAATCAGCTTCCTTGAGCTGTCAATCATCTAAGTAATCAAAAAGAGCATTTGTTTACTTTTAGGTTACATCAGTATAAAATGTTAAATAATTAATATAAAGTATTGTAAGCCTACTCGATAGTTTAAAACAAGTTAAATTATCTATCAATATTTTTCAGACATTAACTTTTTTTTATATGCCTTTAATATGACTTTCGGAATATTTTACATTGCATAAAAGCATTAAATGTTTTACGGAAAATGGTTCTCCCTAAATGTGCCTTATCTGGGTTTAAACTATAAAAAACTGAATAACCATTATAAAGTCCTATGACATAATAATTACAAAAACTTATTACTATTAATAAGTTTAGTTAGAGTTTTTTTGTACTTTAAGTCTGCAGAAAGAAGCTACATTGCAAAGGACAAGATGAAGGACCAAGCAAAGTACGCCCTGGGACTGTTCCTTTGTGCAATGTAATGCACCTGACTTTCAATATTTTCACGAATTCTCTTGAGTGTTCCTGAAAGATAGTCCTTGCCCTCAATATATACTGAAAAAAACACTTTTCCCATGAGCAATCCTACTATTAAGTACACGCAAAGTCTCACTGCCATCTTTCTTGCATTTCAACCAGGGTGTGTTCTTTTTTCGCTAGTGAGGAAGCCCCTAACTTAATGATGTACAAGTATTGTCCTTATACCTCATTTAAACGTCGTAAAATTTTTGAGAGTACATGAAAATCGGATTTTAAGAACTCAAAAATTTAACATAGTTCTTTAGTTGCCTACACAGTAATTACCTTTGACTATTATATCATAGTCAATGGTAATACTTTATATACTAACACTGACACCCAATATCAATTCGTTTTAAATGTTTTATTAACTTCCTACATACTAAAATCATAATTATTTTTGTTCCATAAAGTAAGTAGTAATATAATCAATTTGAATATAAAAATGCACTATGTAAACATGTAAGCGAACCTGGAATGTTAATTAAATCTCGTTACTATGACATAATGTTTACGCTTCAGAAGAAAATTTTTAGCCATGATGTACGGTTCAAAAAGTGTTTTCCCAATGATTCCCATTGCATAGAACTGTATACGTATGCCATGGACAAAAACTAAATAACATATAATTGTTAATTATTTTGGAAAAAAGGTCCTATGTTTTTACACAAAAGCAGTAACGAATAATCACAAGGAATCTAAGATACAAAACGTATAAAATAAGCCCAACCAAACGGTAACCAAAATAAATCCTTTGTCGTTTAAATCACCCATCAATCATTACACACTCACCTAATGAACAACGAACAATGAACTCGTCAAGGATTAGTTCCTCGGTCGAGTGACCCTGAATGAACGAGAACGAATTCGGAAGTGATTACATTCAAATACGTAAAGCTATTCTCGGATAGAGAAAGTTGTTGCGTAGATTACGTGATCGAGGAAGAAAGCGGGGAAAGTGACGGCTAAGACGGCATTCCTGCAGCTGGACCGGGCATAGAGTAATCCAACCTGGGCTGACCCATAGAGTAATGCTGTAACGCGGCGTCATAGTGACGAGTGTATAATAAACACTAGGTCATATATCGCAGCTACAAAAAGACGCTTGGAACTGTGGAACTTTTGTAAATTGCACTTAAATTAGTAGTTGTTTTTGTGAACACGTTATAATGTGTAATTTATACATTTTGACAACTTTTTTTAGTTACTTTGGGTATTTTATGCCATTAGCATTTTTTTAGAGGACTGTTCAAAAACCTTTCTAATTTAACCATTTTATTGATGGCATAATCAGGTGTCCAACTACAAATGGCATCTAAGTCCAAAATCCATTATCACGCTTGGGAACGAGCAATCTTTGTATTTTAAAAGGGACATTCCAAATACTCGGCTACCAAGTAAATAAGTACGCTTTAAACACAGAAGAGATGTTAAAGATGTTGTAATTTTTAAAAGTTGTGTGTAAAGGTTGTACAATTGAATTAGCTCAAACTAATATTGTATTAGCTATTAAAGTTAGAAATTTACTCTCAAGACTCAAATCGTTTTGTTTATTCCTCACTGGAAATCTTTTATTGTCTATCAAATTTGATTGTTGTTTGGGGTTGATAATGCACAGGTAATTTAACAGTGGTATAACAGTGGATAACAGTGGTAATTTTATGCTTGGATAAAACTTTGTTTCTATTTCTGACGTTATTGTTCTAAGATAATTGTTTTAGTGCACGTTATAAGATGACTAACTTTATGTATGGAAATTGTTTGTCATGTATATTATAGAATAATTGTTTGTTTGATTTTCTAGCTGAATGGCTCAAGAAACCATGTCGACGAAAAGATCCAAACTTAAACCAATGTTTGAAGGACCTGTTCCAGGGCATGTTCCCTTACATGGCAAAAGGTAAATATACTTTAATTATTTAGATTCGTTTAAAATTTGAAGGTTCTGATCATGTCTAAAATGTTTTATTCGTCAGTGCCTAATATGATCTATAAAGTTTCTGCATTGGACTCCAACCCATAGATTTACTACTGTATTCTAAATTTAGTTCATTAACTTGGTGTATTGAATTTTACTTATCGCTCAAAATAATTATATTGGTGTTTTCAATAAAATAATAGTACGCATCAAATTAAACCGCAGGAAAAGCTGTTTTATAAAGTTATCAAAAGGTTTAATTCCGACGAAATGTCTTGTATAATCACAAAACATAACATCTAGTTCAAACTTTAAATCTGACAAGGTGAATAAGTGCTCTGAACTTCAAAGTCGATATATACATTTACATGTCAAAACATATTGTACATTATTTTATGGTAAAATAATAAGGAATCGCTATACAAATTAATGATAAATTATGTTGATAGAGCTAACTATGACGAATCTGAGCCTGTTCAGCTAATCAGTTACAATTTGACAAGCCACATTGAATCAGTACTTGTAATTTTCATTTTCTCCATAGGTATCCCAGAAGTAGGGATCCCCAGGTTTGAGCCCCTCTACATCGAGAAGATATTTATCAGCAAAGGCCACGGTGCGGTCACACTCGCTGGTAACTTCGACAAACTCCACGCTCACGGTCCCAGCAACTCCACCACTAGGGCGGTCAGGTGAGCATGAAACGAAGCGTTCCAATACGGATACTCATGTTAATGAAACTGCATACTAAGTAGCTTACTAATAACGTACTACTATCAACAAGATGTAACGGAACCCCATGCTTGAATCAAAAGTTACCTAAACGTACCTCAGCGAATTAAATAGGTGATGGTGTTTTAGGTAAGGTACTTTCCAAAGCCTTTGATTCTTATAAGGCAACCACATCATAGACTCAGTAGATGAGTCAGTGTTCCCTCTTACTCCTGACAGAACCTATAATTCATCACAAGCACCAAATTCTTAAGGCGAGAATTCCCGTTAAAATCCAAATACTTCATTCGATTAGGGTTATCTCTGTAACATCCCTTTTCCAGCTGTTCTAATTAACATTTTACGATTGAAGTGTAATTTAAAAGCTTATGATTTAGTGGAGGTATGAATAGTAATCAAAAGGCCATTTCCTTTAGGGCTTCACCCTAGTAGCCTTTTGATTTACCTTTACTTTAAAAGTGGTGTCAAAGATCCAGAGATCCTGGCCAACTTTTGTATAACTACGGATTTCAATGTGAATTATAATTTAACAGCTGTTCGTCCCTCGAGTGCTCCGCTGCTCCTAAAATTCTTGGCGAGCTTTATCAACAATCTCACTTCTGGCTATAAAGTCCAAGTAGTTATTTAACCAGATTATTTAGATGGAAGGGCCAAACACATTCTTGCTCTTCATTTTCTTAATGCCTTACAGATTCTTCTTCAGAATCAAAGTGTTAAATACAAATTTAAAATCGTATTACAAGGTCACTGGATTCTACCTTCCTATTAGACAACATAATATTTTTTGTAATTCAGTCATTTTGTAAACGAATACTTAATTGGCCTTTTCTTGGAAAGGAAGTTTTTACACTCATCTAATTGTGATAAGTGATTATTGTCAATGCACTTCTGAACTTTAGCACTTCACAAAGTCTATATTCTTAACCTTCATCATCGGTCATGGAACTAGTACTTAGGAAAAGGTCTTGTTAAACGTAGACTCTATGCTAAATCAATAGCCAATCAAATCAAAATATAAACTAAGGCTAAAATTTAAGTATCTTCCAAATTCCAAAATCATTACACGTGGTCTACGTAAAAAATGTATGTGACTACAAAGATATGACCAACTTACCCAAAACAAATAGTATTTAAGAGCAAACTACTCTTAACCTATGTAAGATCAACTTTGGACCCTTTTTCGCAGATTGGACGTTGACAAAGGACGGTTGGACATCAGCCTACACATCCCGGTGATCCGCACAGAGTCAAAGTACGACCTTAGAGGAAACATTCTGCTGCTGCCCATAGTAGGGGTGGGGGACGCAAGACTGCTGCTTAGTAAGGACTATATTGGACACAGCTCTTAAACTTATAAAACGTTGATAGTAGGCTTATATATGATTCGAAATAATAGGATTTGACTTTACAAATTATAATTAATTATACAAATTATAGTAAGGTGTATTCAACCCAACCAGAATTTACCTATTGTTGAATTTTAGTAGGGGTAAGATGATGACAGTGAGGACGGATGAGTTTGTACTACTAATGTATATAACAATTATGAACTCAACTGTAGTCACACCACTTTACGATGTTTTTCGATCTATTCTAGTTTAGTTTACGTTGGCCTTTACAATATTAGATGCACTGTATGATAGGTTTTCAAAACATATTTTCACTTATTCGTTTGTTTATGCCTACATAATGTTATGATAATGACTAACCAAGACTGTCCATCTTCGTATACAATACCCTGTCTGTGTGTATTCCGGAATACTCGCTTTTTAACTAAGTCTAAATTGCTGTTTTATTTGCTATATAAATTACCAATCATCCGGTAAACCACTATGTAAGCTTAAGGGATCTTAAACGTATAGCATAATTAAGGTAAAGGTCAGTACATGAACATGCTTGGTCCAAAAATCCAACGGATAACCATATCTACTTTTAATTTTAATTTTTATAATATATGACCTACTAACTTTATTATAATTAGGGAACGTGACAACTGATGTATACATGAAGGTGGTGTTCCCCAAGCTTCCAACAGGGCAGGAGGTGATGGCCGTAACTGATATGAAGGTGGACTTCAGAATGTCCAACGTGAGAGTCCATCTGGACAACCTCTTCAACGGAAACAAAGTTCTCGGTAAGGACAGTAAAATATACTAAGTTTCGCAACCAATCCAAGTTACATGCATTTAGACGCGAAAGATTTATATAAAATTTGGTGCAGAATCACATTCCATTGCAACTTTTTCCTGCTCAGACGGTAAATTTACCAATACTTGACAAACCGTTGACATTAAAGAAAATTAACTTCCTATGCTCTTTAAGCCAAACTGAGACTACACGTTTATATGTAACGTTTCTGAAGATGCTTTCTAATCATGTTCCAAACCCAAATCATATTAAGTTTTCCCATAAAGCATTTGACTAACACTCTCTCTTCTCCTTTAAAAAATACCACTGGCGTAGACAAAAAAAAAACTAGGTAATTATATTATATATCATGTTCTGGGAAGATATTAATTATCTCTATACTTTAAAATTGTTGTTTAAACTTAGACAAAAAATATGGATTTTCAGTTTTAAATTCACAAAATGTATCAGAATTAATTGGAGTTACTTTCTCACTACTCCTGCGTTTTTTCAACAATCAGTAGTACGAAATATTGACAGGAGTATGCAATTGTTATATTATTAGTCAGCTGTACCAGCTTTATTTATTTCAAGGTACAAAACAGACACAATACATACATACGGGATCGAAAAATCTTGGGGATGAATTATTCAAACAGTGTGTTGACTAGAATTTGATTTAGCAAGTAGTAAAGCATTATAGCCAGCTTGACTGAAAGACATTCAATGTTTACAAACAGCTGTTAATGAATTACGAACTTTATGGTGCGGGCCCAGTAAACAGCAAACTTCTCTTAGAACAGGAAATCTGTGTTCTCATCAAATTATCTGACCAACGAATGTAGACGTGAATTTTAAAGTTGAAGGAGTAGTTCCAGATAACGCTTAGAGAGTTAATTACGTTAGTAGGAAGTAATAATGTTACTAGTCTTAGAAATGTGGTGTAGTTATTTTTCCCCCAAAGAAATACAACCGATTACTTAACTAACTAAACACTAAATTATAACTGACGTAACTTTCCGCTGAAAGAGTTTGAACAGTTCGAAGGGAAATATAGGAATTCAGACCTAGTTAGGATTTTATGCAGAACACAAATCAAATGAGTATGAATATTCCAACGAGTATTCATAGTACAAATATTTGTAACGTGTACTTTTGTACCTACTTCAGACATAATAAAACGAATAAGCTAAAGTGGAAGCTGTATACCTTAAGCCCAATATTAGAAGAAAATTATCTTACAAAGTTACAATTTTGGTAGTTTGTTTTTAATATATTCTATTCAATGTATTCTTATATTTTGTCAATAAAATATGAACTAGAGGTTTAACTTGACAAACACTTATTAAAATATTAACTAAACAATATTTTACTTGCAGGCTAAATTGAAGATAACAATTCAATATCCAGAATAATTAGTTTATAAAATCGTAGAAATTGTGTGAGCGAACTACAACAAAGGTTTGAAATTATTTCCAATTTACCTTAATATCCATTTTACACTTCGTGGAATTCCAATAGCGTATTATATTCTAGAAATTCGTTCCTAGATATTAAAATCATCACTGAACGCTCAATCATCATTTAACGCCAATATAAGCTTCAAAATTGCTGGAATATTAATTTATAAGCTCTTTCAAATTTGTTTTAATACCCAGAACGCGTTTACCCGACCCAGTTTCCACTGCAATAGTTAATTAACAAGATACAGTATAGGATTTGTTCGAGCTCCACCCATGCAATAACCAATTCGGCTTAGTTTAGTGAGTAGTTAACGCTCAACGCCTTTCTAGAACAGAATGTAAATACTGTATCTAGTTTGTAACTAATGAATACTTGTTTAAATCATTGAATATTTATAAACTAACTTCAAACGAAAGTACATTTACATGTTAAAATGTAATGTAAAAATATCACGGTGGAAACTACTGCATTTAGCTTAACACTTTGTCATTGGTTTTCGATTAGTTGTTTTCTGTTCTACATTGTTGTTACTCAATCGACTGCAAAGGTATTTAGGTAGCTAGGTATTTTTCTTCGTCTATTTATAGATTCAGGAAAAATATTATTTAATAACCATACATTTATTAAAACTTTGTGATCCCTTTCTAGATCTGAAAGAAAATACATTAGAACACATGATTTTTTTAATAGTTACGTCGGTTTTAGGGTTAATATATCTTCAATGGAGGTTTATAATGTGTATTCATTTTTTTTTCAAAATCACCAATATTCTATTAAGTTTTGAGACAATAATATTATTAACTTGTGTATTTTATTAAGTTGTGTCTCTTGTGCAGATTCTTCATTTTAGTAAACTTAGTGTGATCTACCATGTGGTATTGGTTTTTGTTCATTGAAATTTAAAGGTTTTCCAGTTGATTAAAAAATTAGGTTTTTTGAGTACAGCTAAATTTAAAAATGTAGATCACGATTCTTAGAATTAAAAATCTGTACGAGAAGAATGGGAGACATATACAAATACAAATACAAATACAAATATATTTATTATGAAAATTACAACAGCTTGGCCTCACCAAGTTTATAAAACTTGTCGGTGAGGTCCAATTGATACAATATAAGGCTAACAAACAAATAATTTACATTTTTTTTCTTTTTTTGAACAAAGATTTCTTAATATTTCTACGGCGGTTTGTGGCAGGCACTTTAACTTAAAACAAAGTAGTTGGCAGCACACTAAAAAATCTAAAATGTTGTGACATAAATATTGCTTTACAATCTACGGAATTCTTTTGGATTACTCATATTTGGTCCTCTTTGTTTTTTATGGTTCGTAGACCATGTTTGAACTGTTTGTTTGTTTGCACAGCAGACTGGCAAACATATGAATATATGGTTTAACAATATAGGTATGCAACTAAATTCTGACAAGAGTAGGATCTGTAAAGAACTGAGTCCAACTAATATCATGTAGTTTATGTAATAACGTATAATCTCCTCCTATCAATTATTCTTTATCTTCTCTAATCTCTACGCATGTATGTAGGACACACGGTCAACAATTTCCTCAACAAGAACGCTATGGAGGTGGTAGACGAACTCAAGGACAACGTCGGAGACGCTCTGACGGAAGTCTTCAAGAAGATTATGAACGATGCCTTTGGCCGAATCCCCACAAAGTTTTGGCTTCCAGAGGACGACGATGTCAGTGAATAGTTGCCTACCCTTCCTGTACATACCCCTAAACATTTAAGTGTTAAATATATTTTTTGTTTTTTGTAACTTGTTATCTGTTTGCCTTTTTCTTTAGTGTATAAGGGTCCTTGAGGAATGTTCACTAATTGGTTATGAGATTTAATAGTTTATCCTCAGAGACTCTGAGGTTTATCCTAGGACGATCCTACCTGAAGAAAAAATCTTTGAAATGGCTTTGTTATAATGTATTGATAAATGCATACTAGGACATGCATTTGGGTAGTTGATTTATTCGGGAAAATAAGAACGAACAAATCGATTACAAGAATTATGTTCGCATGAATGTTCACCAATGAAATGCACGTAGTGTACAAAATCATACTAATTAAAATGTTAGCTACTGTCTATAAAATTACTTTTGAAACAAGGAGACTGGCATTCCTTCTGCCCAAAATGTGTATTTTAAATCAGAATACTCTTAATTTATTGTCTGGAACAAACTACAGTTCTTAGAATTAAATTGCTGCATTTAATATCTTTAGCAGTGATTGTTTGCTTTTATATTTCTGTTTTTTCCTATGTATTACGGTCCTTAAACTTTTGTAAGTGAGAAAGTAAGTCAATTTTTCCAAATTAAAAACAGAAGTATTATTTTCTTGTAAAAAATCTTACCCATGTGTGCAAAAATCCTACCGCCTAGATGGATGTATGAAAAAACTATTAGATATTGAAAGTGGAACTGAAAACGCAGCTTTTGTGTAGAATCTGAAACCATAGATCAAAAGTTAGTTACTAACTATTTAAGCAAATTTTTTAATCATGTAAGGCTAAAAAGGAGGATTAATTGTGTTAGGCTTTCTACAAAGAGTCGTAAAAATACTCATCCACTCCCCCAAATGTCATTTTAATATTATTTTTCAAAAGTTAACTAAGTTGTGTGGCCCATTAAGGGTTAGCTGGATCAAATTTTTTAGCTGGAAAAGAAACAACTTCCATGTACAATCTTTCTCCACTAAACAGATCAATAATAACGAGAATTAAGGGATACACAAAATTTTACCCTTCAAACACAATTATTTGTGGTATAAGTATATTCATAGAAAATACATTTACAGCACATATTATCCTAGTTTACTCTAACACTATTCGTAAAATATACATACCTTACATAAATACAATAAAGCTTACTGTACAATAAGATTTCATGATATTAAACAGCTGATGAAAGTGGAACATTAATGCCTTGCAACAATCGACAAATATTTATTCGGAATTCATTGTTGAATAGCTCGTGTTTTAGTTAATAATATTAATTTATCATTCAAGCTTGATTCAACATTAGCAAATAAATATAATAAAAGTATTTAAGCTGAGGTGCAAAAGAATGCGGAAGTGGCTACTTTGTATACGCAAATAATAATGAATACGTTGTACCAAGTCATAAGAATGTCAAGGTTGACCTTGAAAAAACACACGTGAGTACAATGACTTCTTGTTCAATGATTTGCAAGTGATAATTCTTGGCATCATTATTATTTCCTCCATCTAATATTATCCGGAGGGTTATGAAAATGTCTACAAAAATGCTAGCCACTTTTTTTAAGAATTATAACTAATGATGAAGTAAAATGTAAAGACAAGTAATGTGAAAAGGAAAATCCTCTTTAGGACTCTAAAACATTAAATCTTGGAATTCACTGAACATATTAAAGTTAAAAGAATTTGTAGAGTCACTAATGTATAATGGAAACGCATTAATAAAACATTTTCACTTGGACGCTAAGCTTCTCTGCCGGCTATTGCACTACCTTTATTGAATTGCCAATATCGTATAATACAGTAGTTGCAGAACATAATTTTTAATCAAACTTTACCTTAAATTTGTTAGAATATTTCAGAGGTTGTCTGATTAAATCCCATGTTTTATTTTTTTACAATTTCCTTCTGCTGAACGAAAAGTAGGCTTATAATTTGTCATAACTGAATTCTTTAATAATTTTGTGGCCGAATAATGTTGGCTGTTAAAAAAATGGTTTCAAATTGAAGATATAACCATTTTGGTATCATAAATAAAATCTTCCTAAATTTTCAATTATTAATTTCTTATGACATAGGACGAAAATAGTTATTTGTGTAACTAGTGAGAAAAGTGAGCAATTGACTCACTCGAGAGAAATCCTTACTCACGAGCCGTAGGCGAGTGAGGAATGGTTTCTCGAGTGAGGCAATTGTACTTTGAACTCGAGTTGCACATTATACTTTTCCTACAGTTACCATAAAACAAATAAATTGGTGAAGAAACATAACCTATTTTTACACAGAAGTGAACTTTTAATATAACATTTAATAAGAAGTGACAAATACAACAGTACAACAGCTGACCAGCTGATTTACAGCCAGTGCTGCCAACGTATTTCGCGCGCATACGACGTTGCCTGCATGTTACGTGCTCACTATGTCGTGCCTTCACGTTGCAAATCTGGAGTGAGACAAAGTAATTAGAGTGAGACAATGTTAACATTGTCTCACTGATGCTTTCTCAAATCAGTGAGAGAACATGTACATTGTTAGGTAACTGTAGGAAAATGTATATAAATACTTTTCCCCCTTATAGTACAATGTAAAATTATATTAGAGAGCTCATAAATTGATTCTTTTTGGTCTTTTTGTCTCTTCTCTCACAAAATGCTTTCTAATATGTCTATTTATTCTTTCCTTCGTTAGGTCTGTAAGTCTCACAGTCCTGTACATACAACGTTTCGTTCCTATGCGCAGCACGTCATCAAGGCGCCTTCTCTGGTTTGCTCGTGGTGGTGGATGTAGTATTGGCGGGTGTGTCAGGGTAGATGTACTCGTAAGGTACCAGATCCGCGATGTTGGTCAGTAGTAGTCGGAACACCTCGCCTATAGCTTCTCCTATAGCCGGACCGAGCTCTTTGGTCACTTCTCGCCAATTTTGGTTGAGGAAGTAATTCATGTTTTCTCCTATAAAATAATGGTTGTGAGATGTGGTGAAAGGGGATGATTGATAATGTGTTCTTAATTCTATTATTTTAATTATAGCTGGTAATCGCAATAATGGAGAAAGATTCTATGTAATCTATTGCTATTGAACTCTTTTAAAAATAGAGTTGTGACATTTTAAATCCCACAAACAGAGATGTATTTTCATTTTATTCCACTTTCTGATATTTAATTGTTGCCAAATTTTTCAAACCCTTGTTGATTATTTACCAAACTTATTGTCGAAATATTTACAACACTCTCATTGCTCTTAAATGTATTTCAAAATATTTCTAATGGGGATTCATATTAACAAGCCATAATTTAACAGTAGTTTCACCATTCGTTTTTAACCAACAGGTGCTCAATTAAAGTAAAACCATATTTAGTCAACCAGTTCCTGTTAACGTAGTAACATTTTACTTAACATTAACATTTTAAAATGAAATATGTATTTTTCTAAAACAAAAATTTGTTTTAGTTTCATAAGTTAACTTAGGAACACCCGTGGAATCGTATTCAGTAATTTTACTGATATGTACTGTCAATTTGCGCAAAAATAATCAACATTGAATGGCAGAAATGTTGATTAAGTTGCAACTAAACAGCAATGTCTAAGAGATAAAAATGAGATAAAAACAAGTGAGATAAAAATGGGGTATTATAAAAGCTCTTAGTTTTTTCACACATTACTTTAGGTTTAGACACTGGTAGCGGCATTATCACTTGGATAAAATATAGTGGTGATGGGCGGGACCTCAGTGACCTACCACCAGACCAGCTCGCTCCCCACTCACTCACCTTACAGTTTATCCATAAATTAAACATACTGTGCTTGATTGAGGAGTAAGCTGGCGTAGTGGTTAGAGCGTGGGACTTCAGTCCCTGAGGTCCCGGGTTCGATCCCCGCCAAGTCACCAATGGATTTTATCCTAGTGATAATGCCGCAACTCCTAGGTATAGCCTGAAGTAATGTGAAAAAAAATCCCAGGCTCGTGCCTAGCGTCCTAGGACAAAAAAAAAGAAAAACAAACTATGCTTAATTTATGAGTTACCGTTGTTGATAAGGAGTAATTAGAAGAATTCAGAATTGATCAACTTACCTAACAGTTTGTCCCCATTGAAGAGGTTTTCCAGGTAGAACGATGCTCCCCCGATGTCAAAGTCCAGACTACTCTTGGTAAAGTTCATGTAGTGCTTGGAGCCTTTCTTGTTCAGAACCCAGTCATACTTGTATGTTATCGTCAGATCATCTGTAACAAGTGTATTGTGTTTAAGACTAATATTAACTTATTAATGATCATTGCTGCGTTAGTATCTATAGTTTTTAAGTATTCAATTATAGTTGGTTGCTTCAACCAATATCAATTGTCGCTAGTGTTAAGTTTGCATATAAAATACATTTATTTAGTTAAATCCTGAAAGGTATGGAGTTAAGTGACGTTACGCTCATTCCATATTTTGCTTTACTTTAATGTCCGTGCTCTTTGAATTTCTATACAGTAGTAATAGCTTCACCAATTACTTTTATCCTATGAAAATCCTTTAGGAAAACTCTCATGTTATCAGATTGATATACGTATGGAACATAACATAACTTATGGTCTGAAACCAAAGGTATCTAAGTAAAATAAACGTTTATTCTTAATATTTTGTATGGAATACGAATATGTAAAGTTTATAATATTTTAAGTAAGTAAACAATATAAATAGTGTGGCTGTCTTTCCATTCATTAGGGATCCAATCAATAAATTATTCCCAGAGCACCAATTCACAACGCTTAAAGCTTTGGGACAGAGAATTGGGTCGATAAGGCAACGTACTGGATACCGGTAGGTGATTTTTTTACTTAGTTGTTTTCAAGATTCAAGAGGCAGACCTTATTTTTCTCTCAAATAAACAAAATAACCTAAATAGTTTGGTAGAGTGTTAAAATAACTCTAATAAAATTTGTATATTTAACAAGTCTTTTATAATATTCCTCAAAAGAATATATAAATCAGTTTACACACTTTAGATGTACTTTATGATTCCTTCAATATCTAAATCGTCTACAATGAATGTTTTGCAACACAGATGATAACGATGTGCAGGAAATTATATCAGCTGCTGATACAGCATGCAGATATGTTGATGAATTTAAGCAGCAAATTAAATCATGACCCGAGCTGCGTTTTCTCGTCATATTAGCTAATGGAACAGTATAATGAAGAGATGACCCTTCGTCCTCATCTCAATGCAACACTCTAGGCCTTGAACTTGTGTGTGACTAATCATTAAATTGAAATTTCCTCAATTATTTTAACAACATAACCATTAGATTGGTTTTGACTAAGTCCTTGCCAATATTATGCATATAAGTGACCTAAAATGTAAAATGTACATTGAGGAAACTTGACACATATTATTTATTATTATTTATGTTATTTGGGCTATGTAGCCTATAATTTTTTAAATTAAAATAAATAGATAAGTTTTCACTAATCCCTTAATCTAGTATAAATTTTTTAATGAAATCCTTCGGTATCCTTTTCTAATAGCTAACCGTACCTGCGGATACATTTTTAAATTACACTAATTGAAATTAAGTTGGAAACTGATTCCTGAGAGAAATAAGCTTAAGTGTAATGTGACTAAACGGGAACAGCTTAAGTTTTAGTCTAAATGACATTCACTTTCACAATACGAGTTTAAATTAGCTTTCTTGAATTCATATTAACGTGTTCGTAGGTAAAGAATCATTTAATTGACTCATAGGTGGAAAGAATTATAACACACCCTGAATTTCGGGCTATTAAGGCTATTCGATTGGATTTTATTTTATTTAAATTTACTAATTCCACGATCCAACACGACGCGAACAACCCCAAACTTTAGCAACTACTTGTTCCTGATTTATGATATTCTTTTCATTTGCCACCAACAATAGTCAAGAATCTAAATAAATAAAAAAAAATGCGAGGACACGAATACACAAAATTACATTATGAATCTACATTGTCGGATTTCTACTTTTAAAGAATTAAACTAAAAAATAAAATTGTGTGGTATAATCCTCAAATTTGACCGAAAATATGAAAGCAATGAGGGTTAAAATCAAAACTTATTTGAATTCTTCATTTTTCGTTAAATTAGACATTTTTATCCTCAATAGAGAACAACGTCATGGATTTTTAGTACCAAGACCAACCAAACAATGTTTTCTTATCATTATTTAGATTAAGATTATAGAAGTAAAATAAAAATAATAAAGGTATAGTAATGTAGCTACTGATTGTGATGTTGGCGTGTCCGTTCCCCATGATTGGCAGGATCAGGACCTGGCCAGTGATGTTGTAGATGCCTCGGATGAAAACCGAGGGAAACTTGAAGTCCCACTCGATGTGTCTCTTTTTCAAGTCCGTTCTGAAAAAAATTGTAAATTAGAATGCATCCATTTCTGCAGTTCAATCCCTACACTAAATCAGAGAACTAATTACTGTGATTCTGCTAAAAAGATGTTGCTTTATTTTTCAGTTTCATGTTCTTAATGGAATTTGAATTCATAAGGTGCTGGGATGATTCTCAGATTTGTGTACAACTCACTCCAAGAATGCTCAGCTAGCAATCCCCATGAGACTAATGATAGATCAAAACAATAGCAGGATTAACAGCTTTCCTATATTTGAAAAAATGCTATTCATACACTAGAGAAAGAGGTTAATCATATTTCTGACAGAAGATCCCTTGATCCAATGTATAGAAATTGGAAGTGAAATAATTCCTTGTGAAACCATCAGGAATTTTTCCCTCGCCGACAAATTTGGTAAAGTCTTTAAAAGATGAAGATGATTAGGCAATTGCAAATAATCAAGTACAATCGTGGTGAGGAAAAAACAGTCTATGAGACCCAATAAGTAACATTGCTTGGTAAAAATAAGTAGCCTATCTTTTTGGGCACTTTTTCCTTGGACAATTTTAAGTTTCATAACCACGTCACAATAAATCTATAGGAAATTGAATTACTTTCTCTTCATCTAAACCATTACTTGACAATGCAACCCTGAGTACCGCGAATAGAACACGACTGTAATATACTCAATAACTTAGTCAAATAGTTCATGGATAAAATGCTAATTATTCCAGCTATGTTGAATGTAGGCCCACAATGAAAGATATGGAGGGTACCTTGCAGCGATGAACTGTGCATTCTTGAGGCCGTAGATCTTGCACTCTCTGACCATGAGGTTGATACCGACCTGCCTCGTGCCTTGCCTCACAGCCAGCTGGTCAATCACTAGAGGGTCCAACTTGGGCACTCGGTACTTAGGGTCTCCTGCAACAGTACAGGGTGGGCTAAGGTATGAATGTAATATACAGGGTGTCCCACGAAGAGGTTGTTATCGTGAATTAATGTACCGTACGATGGAACACTCTACAAAATTGAATCTCCACAGCTACGACAAGCATACTTTTTTTAAAAATCACCCCTTAATCTTATTTGATTATGATCAATCATAACAAAATTGAGGAACATAAAAATGTTTTGGTGGGTTTTCGTTCAAATGGTGGGTTGATTGACATTTGGAATTTGGTCTCGATGTTTGTCAATTGTAGTAAACCAAATTAAAGTAATTAAACAGATAGCATAATGGCAAATCATCAATTAAATTAATTTAACTCATTACACCTTTGAAAACTGATGTCTATAATTAATTAGCTATGCACTACTACGCTAACCATAAATGCTGTTGTTATTTTGTTCCTCCACTTTTTTCACTGAATTGTCAGAAGCAAATGTGACTCGATGTTTTTTACGACATTATAACTGTAAAGTTCCAAGTTTGTAGAGTGTTCGGTACGTTTGGTATATTAATTAAAAAATTCAATACCTTTGTGGGACACCCTGTATAATGGTATACATAATATGTAATGAATATATGGCCTGTGGATCGTCCTAATATTGGCAAATAAGGTGAATCTACAGTACTACAAAAATGTAGCACATCATCAGGTTACCGTGTCTAGCTAATTAAGAATCCCTCACTGAGGGGCAATCTAAAATTTCTGACAAACTCCGTCATGAGCGACTGAGGCTAGGTGAACAGCTAGCCTAGCCCATCTTTCGTTTAGAATAGATATTATAACCTAAAGTTGGGCAACCTTTTACCCAGCACGAAACAGCCGTGGGTGGTTTACATTAGGGCTTTCGGGCCATCCTGACAGCAGCAGAGGCTACATAAACAAAATAATACTAGAGCAGCAAGAATAACATTCTCTGATACAGTCTCCGAGACAAGAGAACATAATTTTGCTTGTTTAAATAGCGTGTAAATCAGGGGTCTTGTAGTAACTGGTATCACTATGGCAATAATGCAATGATCACTCGATTAGAAAATACTGTGAAAAGTTATGGTGAGTGTAGATATTTACAGTTAATCGTGGCGGATCACCTTCATGAGAAAACTTGTTCTCATGTAAATGAAGTATTAGCTAAAGACCTACAGCAAGAAAGGGCCTCTTTGATAGATGGCCGTGTTTGCACCTTGGTTAAATTATTTATTATTCGTTACTAATTTTTAACCTTGGTTAAAATTAAAGCATATGTAAATGCATTTAAATTATTGAAAATTGTTTTCCTCATTTATTTTTATATTTCCAAGGTCGATTAGTAAGGTAATTTTATCACTAAAGACAAATTCACAGAACTCAAAATATCATTTTAATTTAAATTTTGATAAAAACCCACACGTAAATCAATTAAACATTCCCGCAGAGTAAACTAATATTTGAATCGAGTTGAAAACTCATTAAGTTCTAGGAAAGTTCTAAATTGAACTGAAGCATTGTTGTCTGAAACTGAAACGATTATTCAAAATCTATCAGTAAATGTATTGGTTTACGTCATATGTATATGCTTATATATAATCTGTGATATTGTGTATACTGTATACACTTACCGTTGATGAAGTGCGGTATAGCCTGCTGACCGTGTTTGACCACGCAGTCGTTGAGGTTGGGATCGTTACGACTACATGCTGGAGTGTACCACGCTGCAACAAACACAAACAATTCGATGAACTGTACGTTGTGACAAACGTACCAATGAACATCATGCTGCATCAAACTCAAAAAGTCTGAGATTAACATGCTGCAACAAACACAAACAATATTTTTTTTTACACGTTGTGACATACGCGTCAATGAATATCATGCTCCAACAAACACAAAAAGTCTGAGAGTAACATGCTGCAAGAAACACAAACAATATAATGAATGACACGCTGTGACATACACGTCAATGAATATCATGCTCCAACAAACACAAAAATGTCTTAAATTAACATGCTGCAACAAACAAATCCATGAGTAACATGCTTCAACGAACACAAACAATTCTATGAATGACACGCTGTGACATACACGTCAACGACTGTCATGCTTCAACAAACACAAAAAAGTCTGAGTGTACCATGCTGCAGCAAACAAATCAATGAGGATCATGCTTCAACGAACACAAGCAATTCTGTGAATGACACGCTGTGACATGCACGTCAATATAAATGTCATGCTCCAACAAACACAAACAAGTCTGAGTGTACCATGCTGCAGCAAACAAATCCATGAGTAACATGTTTCAACGAACACAAACAATTCTATGAATGACACGCTGCGACATACACGTCAACGACTGTCATGCTTCAACAAACACAAAATGGCTGAGATTAACATGCTGCAGCAAACAAATCAATGAGAATCATGCTTCAACGAACACAAGCAATTCTATGAATGACACGCTGCGACATACACGTCAACGACTGTCATGCTTCAACAAACACAAAATGGCTGAGATTAACATGCTGCAGCAAACAAATCAATGAGAATCATGCTTCAACGAACACAAGCAATTCTGTGAATGACACGCTGTGACATGCACGTCAATATAAATGTCATGCTCCAACAAACACAAACAAGTCTGAGTGTACCATGCTGCAGCAAACAAATCCATGAGTAACATGTTTCAACGAACACAAACAATTCTATGAATGACACGCTGCGACATACACGTCAACGACTGTCATGCTTCAACAAACACAAAATGGCTGAGATTAACATGCTGCAGCAAACAAATCAATGAGAATCATGCTTCAACGAACACAAGCAATTCTGTGAATGACACGCTGTGACATGCACGTCAATATAAATGTCATGCTCCAACAAACACAAACAAGTCTGAGTGTACCATGCTGCAGCAAACAAATCCATGAGTAACATGTTTCAACGAACACAAACAATTCTATGAATGACACGCTGCGACATACACGTCAACGACTGTCATGCTTCAACAAACACAAAATGGCTGAGATTAACATGCTGCAGCAAACAAATCAATGAGGATCATGCTTCAACGAACACAAGCAATTCTGTGAATGACACACTGTGACATGCACGTCAATGAATATCATGCTCCAAGAAATACAAGATGGCTGAGATTAACGTGGTGCAACGCATGGTGGTTAACACAGTTGCCGTGCTAAAATCATTTAGTTTCTCAACTTTTAAGTAAATTGGGAAATAACCTAAATACATTAATTACCAACAAACAAAACAAAATAGCAATATACACACTGATTAAAATGCCTCACAGTAGCCTTATTTTCTTATTATATGTATAAAAATAAGATATAAAATAAATAGAATATTTATAAAAAAACTAACAGAATCCATTAGTAAGAGCTCATCATGTGAAAAAGATCTAGCACAACATTGAATTCTATCCTGTACTGTATTACAAAACTCATAGCTTTATTGGAGCCTGATTATTTATAAATGTGACAACTGGACGTACCTACATTGCAGGTTGCTGCACTAACATAACCGGCGTAAAAGAACGGTACTAACAGTACAGTGTTTCGTTAAAAAAGTAAAACATGATGTTTCATGTAGCCTACAATGAAGAATGCATTATAAAACTGATTGAATTTTTTGATTAAACAATTGCAAGTGCAAATACGCTATGAAAATGCATCATTGATTTTCACAGCCAATCTCAGAAAGCAATCAGCGATCCAAAACATTTCAGTCATTAAATATCAGAAGATTGGATTTGATTATCTATTTATGTCACTTTACCCTGTAATCCAAATCCAATATTTATAAATGTGTAAAATTCCCTTTACCTTTTGTGTAAAACACTGTCGATCTATACACGGCCAAAACAAGTTGTATTTTTATTTCTAGCGAAACACATGGATTAACATGAAATGTGGGCAGAGAACTGTTGGTATTTAACAATTCACTTAGCTAATGATTGTATGGTTGAATGCAGTATTTACGATTACACAGAGCTTTAACCAAATACAAATCCAACTCAATGGCAATATTTGTAGAACGTACCTGTAAATTTATTTGACTTTGTTTTATAACAAAGCTACTTCGAAAAGCGCTTAATTTTAATTTACTGGAACGCAGAGCTAGCCGTTAGCTACAAGTTAGCAGTACTTAAACATTGTTTCCTAACAAAGAAATGTCTGTGATATTCACAAATAAAACCCATATAATATCTTTACACAACAAAAAATTCCAATAGGGTAACTATATTTAATACTTGTTTATAAACTTGCAACGAATTTGGGTTCGCTTCTGCGCTCTTTAATAATCTTGTTCGTTGACTAGATCCACCATAAAAATAAACCATACAAATCCTAAGATCCGTAAATAAAAATTTAAGGTTTTAATCTATCGATTCCCCATTAGAACGCTCATTAAAATACTGTAATGAAAATATGTTAACTAAAATGTTAATTTTCTGTAGCGTACAACATGATTCTTCTTCCATCAAATAACTCGAGTCTTATTTTTAATGCAAGATGAGTCTGGTTATATAGTCTTCATGTATGTCAATTATTCGGTCCCGGCATAACTCATGTATTTAATGTAACATATGCCTGGTCAAATGGTATGTATGTGTGTCAATGGGGCTTACCATGACTCATGTATTTTATGTAAAATGAGTCTGGACATAGGATTTTTGAATGTGTCAATTGGGGCTGGCCACAACTCGTTTATTTAATGTAAGATGAGCCTTATAGATAGATATATTCTAGATATAGTCAATTAATGGGGCATACCATAACTCATGTATTTAATGTAAGATGAGTCTGTTCATATAGTCTGTATGTCTGTTAATTAATGGGTCTCACCATAGCCCATGTATTTAATGTCAGATGAGTCTGGTCAAATGTTTTGCATGTGTGCCAATAACTAGGGCTTACCATAACTCATGTATTTCATGTAAAATGAGTCTGGACATAGGATTTTTGCGTGTGTCAATTGAGGCTGGCCACAGCTCGTTTATTTAAATTAAGATGAGTATGGTCATATGTTCTAAAAGTGTAAATTAATGTGGATCTCCATAACCTATATATATGTATTTATTTTAAGATGAATAGACCTATGGTCATATGGTCTAAATGTGTCAATTAATGGGGCTCACTATAACTCGCGTATTTATTGTAAGATGAACCTTATGTTCTATACGATTGTCAATTAATTGGGCTATACATAAATCATATAGCCTAAGTAATGCAAGATAAGTCGGCCCATATGTTCGTTATGAGTGTCAGTTAATATGGTTTTAAAACACCTGTGCCCATGTATGATGGGTCTTGCCATGTCTCCTATATGTCATGTCTATTTATGAGGCTCGTCATGTCGGTTGGTTCAAGGTAATCTTGCCTCACGTGCGTTACTCATTGGTATTGCGACCACACTGTGTAACTTCTACAAACACCACCAGACCCGCCAAATTCTCCCTCGCAAATGAACAGTGTTAGTCTGCAATGTACACTCTAATGAAGTACTACTCTTTGTTCGTCAGCTGATTTAATTAGGATAGTTAATAAATAAAAAATAACAAGATGTGATTGAAAAAATTTAAAATTACTAACGGTTTGTCTTTTTTGTGGATATGTTCACATTGACTTTCAAAAGTACTTTGACAATTTTGGTAAAGAAAAATTAGACGTTATGTTGTTTTAAGGAGAATTGCAAGAAATGAAAAGTAATTGTTTACCATTTATTTCTACAAACTAAAGAAATTTTATTTAACAAATTAGTTTGATCTTTTCTATTGTGAAATTATTTTTAACTTTTTTTCTCTCTGAAAAAGTAAAAATATGCTTACCTGTATTCCAATTTTATTTCAATCTCAATCTAAGGCCTTGTTTATGACTCTACGATGCTACAAATTTTATATCAACTGTTTTAATTACTTACTACTCATGACGAGTAATAGCTACTCCACAATAGTTTATGAATAAGAGTCCACCCATATTAATTCCAGTTCTAAAACTTTTTAAGAGTCGTTAGTAGTGATTTCAAGCCTTAAACTACAAGGGTTAACACAATCTGCACAGTTTTTCCCTTTCCCCACAAGGTCGACAGTACAGTAACAGCGGATAACACTAAACCCATTGTTTTATGAACTGAATTCCACATATGAACAGAATCATCCACCAAAATAATATTGCATATCGTTTAATATTCTACATCGTTGAGAGTTGATAATAATTATTAATAGCCTAGCCGGGTTCAACTCATTCTTTATTCTACGTTCCTAACATTATTTACTGACAGATCGTTTATATATATTTTTTGCAGAATTGTTACTGTAACTGGAATTTGGAGTTAAGTTGAATTTTGAAAAAATCCATAATTTTGGGAATGCTAGTGTCGATGTATAGTTAAGTACACCACAATATAGGATATCAACTATACATAGTAAATAGATTATTCAACCCAAATCTTTGTACCTCTTGAAACCAATCAATTTCAAAACAGGTGAAAAAGCGATTGGTGCAACACACTAAAAATCGAAGACTCTTCAAGGTCAAACTAATTGGTCGAACAGGTTGGACTGGTGTTTAACAGTTTATATAAACTGTAGAATGCGAGTCGAGCCACTAACTAGGCTGGAGTCGACGAACCGAGATAAATCTGAGGCGGTTCCGTATATGTGAGGCAACTGCAAACCTGCTCAGCTTGCAGATCC